CCTGCTCGCGGGAGAGGGCTGGAGGCTGCCGCGGGGACGCAGCCGGGCGCCGGGGGCTGGGTCGCTGACGGTCCCGAGGGACCGGGGTGGGGGGGCCCTGCGTGCGGCGGGAGGCGGCGGCGGCAGCCGCGAGAACCGCGGGGAGGCTGCGGGTCAGCAGCCCGCCGCCCGCGTGGGGAGCTAGTCCGGCCGGCAGGTCCGCCCGTCCGTCCTTCCTTCCCCCCTCCCCTAGTGGCTGGCAGCGGGCGCACTGAGCGCTCTGCTCCTCCGCTGGCTCCGGGCCCCGCTCCGGGCCGCCACAGCCTCCTCCGCACCCCACACCGAGCGCTCGCGCTGTGTCTCCATCCTCCCCGCAGGAGGACCTTTAAATAGCAACGTCAGCGCGCTCTTCTCCGCACACTCGTCACCCGCCGCTCACGTCACCGGGGTGCGGGGGATGATGTCACGCGGCCGGAAGTACTGCTAAATTAGGGAAGGAGCAGGGGGAGGAGGACTCGGCGAGCTCCACTGTGCCCACCTGCTCTCGCTTCTCCTTAAAGGCCAAAGCACAGGAGACAGCCCGAAAGGAGCTTGGAGAAGGAAGCGGCGGCGGCGATTTCCTTGCAACAAATGTGCCAAACACGAGTGAATCATTCATAGCAACGGTACCGAAGTGTCAAGCGGGTGATATCCTATCTCCCACTCCCACCTCTGTTGCAGCAGCATCCCCAGCCTTCTCAAGTCCCAACTAGCACAGAAATGTGGGAGGAAAGCCTGATCACCAGCGCTAGCTATATTTCCAACAAAACTTGGGGGAAAATCACTGTAATTTTCTGAAGTTATTAAATGCCATTCTGGACATAGGAGACTTTAAAACGCCCCCCCCCCCAGCTTAGTGGTTACTTAAATCACGAGAGAATAAAGAGCAGAGCCATGAACAAATGTTATAATGTTACGAAGATAGTAACCCAAGGGGAAGGGGAGAAGGCCATCAAATGATCTAAATGTTTTCATTTGCAAAACAGCAATCTTTTGGCATAGGATAATGAATCAATCCTAACTTAGAAAGCTCACTCATAATTATCGTTATAGATGCCAGTATACCCTTTAAATTCTGCATTATCAAGAATATAAGTTCCAGTCTATGGAAATTAAAACTAAGAAAGACCACAAAATTCTTTTTAACATTAACACAAAACACATTTGGATTATTTTTGTCTTCCTTAGTTTTGGCCATAGAATATATAATTATAGTACCTCTTAAGTATATTGTTTTTCATTTCCTATATGGCAAGGGTGAATAGCCATTTATAAGTTTACTAGCTGTGTGTGTGTATAATAAATAATATAATGAATGTTTTTCAAGTTACAAATTACTACAAAATTTTAAATCGTCATTATTTTGATAGTTTGTTAGGTAGACTTAAAGAACTTTGATTTGATTTAATTTGATAGTCATGACCCAGAAATAGAATTACTACATAATGCCAAGGGCCATTGCTATTTCAGGGTTAGTCTATAAATTCAGTTAGATCACGTTGTCCTAACCCAAATCCAGACACATCATGTGACAATAGACAAAACATTTGAAATCTGAAGTAACCTGGAAAATCCAGGACATAGGATTACCAACCTATGAAGTGATTGTTAGAAGAGCTATAAACGGATACCAATGCCATTTAAATAAAAGAAAGCCCTACAGAATTTATACTATGTGTGATGTGTGGTTTTTTAAAAATGTTTCTAATATTAAACTACTAACATGATTCCCAATTAAGGAATATTGGTTTTACAGCTTTCTGCATCTACATTTTCTTGATCAAATCAGGAGCCCAATATTAAAGGACACCAGCCAAAATCTTTAGGACCAATTTGTAACTAAATCAGGCTGTCTGGTTATCTCCACATTATAAAATCATTCTCTTGCTTATAATTTGAAATAGTGAAAGTATTTTGTTTTGTTTTGTTTTGTTTTTTAGGGTTATAACAAAGGTTATTCAAAAGCAAATTCCTGCTTGACAATTTGTTTAATATATATTATCATGTTAGTAGAAACATGTACTAATTTATATTTCAGAAAAATGGAGCTTCTGAATGTATAAAATAACAAAACAATAAAACTGTCATTCTTCAAATAATGTCATCCCTTGGCCCTTGCAAATTAAAATACAAATTAAGTTATTACTCTACTAAAATTTCTCTACAAATTATTTCCTATCTGAACTAAATTACTTTTCTCTTCCCTGATCTTTCTGTCCATGTTAAGTAAAGCTCTCACTTTATCATTATCAAACACTTCACTCTACCCTTTTATCATGACTCCTCCTGGTTTACAATCTTATTCTCCCTCGTCTCTACACAACTGTCAAAACAGCATATCAACTGCCTCCCTGCTTTCAAAATGCTGACCCTTTATTAGAGTTTCTATTTTTCAAAGCTACATGATCTCTTTTCAACTGCTCTTTTGTCAACTGAAAATTGAGAGCAACCTTTTTCCTATATAAATCTAATGGCACATTGTGATAGAATTACTCAAAGTTTATGTAATTATTTAACTTCAGATCTTGCTTTTAATCTAGAAAATTCTGCCAATAATTGGTCAATTTTTCTTTCTAACTTGTATGGGTTTAGTATATCAGGGAATACATACGTCCATGTACCCAAAGGAATAAGACATTATATGTTTCATGGAGTATCTGCTCAGAAAAAAAAAAAAGTAAAGTAAATGTCCTTTTGTCCTCCCTTGAAACAATTCTAATACAATTTTGATAGGAGTCAGAGAGCCATTTTATGGCTTTCCATGAAAAGTAAATATCTCTTCTCCTAAACCTGAGCTGATGTAACCTAAATGTTAGCCATGAATTGCTAACCTTAATTGTATGTTTTTTAAAGTAGTGAACTTTCTAGAAAGTAATGTATTTTCTTTTTCCGGAAGAGGCAGAAAGTACTTTAGTAGCGTTTCAAATTTTTAACAGTTCCTGTTTCACTCTGAAAATTTGTGGAGAGGTTTATGAATACCCTCTGATTTTAGAATCTGTGGGCTGGAGGCATCTGTTTTAGTTACAGAGTTTACTTCCATGGCCTTAATAGGAGACGGCAGTATTCAATGGGTGTTCATAGATTGGTCATGAGATTTTTTTTTTCAATGAAAATACATTTAGGAGATAGAAAAACTGCAAGGAAGAGGGGTAAAGCCAGATTTCATTTTTAATTGCTTGGCGTTAGATAATAGCAATCCCCTTTCAAGTTCCCTCTTTTTAATGACCAAAATTCCACTATTGCTTCAAGTAAAGGTAGAAATAAAAGATATCTCTACATACAACAGAAATCTTAAGATTCCTAGTTATGAAGTTTTAGTCTTTCCTAACAGACTAAATGTAATGATTAAAAAAATAATAATAATAAAATAAAAATAATGAAAGAGTGGTAGGGAAACAGAATTTACCCAGTTGATTCTCCAAAGTCATCCTGCCTCCTCCACAATATATTGGGTGCCAGTAAAATGTGTTTGGCCTGTTCAAAACCATCATTTATTATTATCACTAATGTTCTGAACAGAAACACAGTAGTTAATAGTCTTAAGGATGGGAGTATAAGTGTTTGGCATCTCCAAGACAATGACTTGAGGACAATTTTTACTCTTCTGAGTGTGTGCACTCTGATTTGGGAGTGATGGAGGCAGGGATGTTAGGAAATATCTTCAGGAAAGATATGATATAGGGTGCATGGGAAATGATCTCATAGAACTGTCTCTTGCTCTGATTTTTACTGTAAATTTATTGTTCTCTAAATATGGTTATTAAAGAGATACAAATATAATCTCAGACTTATGAAAGAACATACCAGAAAGTTTTCAGTTGGTGCTGTGGGAAAATTATTGTACAACTATATATGTAAGTTTTTTTTTAATATTCAGAAGAGATAGGGATATGGTTCCTTTGAAAAAATTATCTGTCTTAACTGCAGGTTGTTTGGCTGGTTGGTTGATTGTTCTAAACAGCAGTTACAGAGAACAGACTGGAAAAATATGCAGATCTGCTGAGAGCTACAGTAAAGAATGTGGAGTAAAGCTTGTGCTTATACCTGTGCGGTTACTTAGAATGGAATGCTGTGGAAGCTGATTGCCATGGTAACCAGTAATCTTTTTCCTGAATGGAGGAACAGAACAACCAGGAGGAAAATATTTTAAATGAGCTACCTTATTTTGTGATTCCTTTGGTGCCAGCTGGGAGGAAAACAACACCCAAGGTATTTAGGACAGCCATGCTTATGAAGGGAAGTTGCCTTCTTATCAAAGAGATAAGGCCAGGGCAAAAAAAATTGGACTATTTCAAAGAGAGATGGGGGTTTAAGATGGCAATTGGAAACTCTGTGAAGCAGAACATAATTGGTAAAGACTCTGACATGGCTAAAGTGACCAGATGCAATATCTATTGTAGAAACTGTGTCAAAGGTTCTCTCAAACATAAGCGGTCAGAAATAAATAAAAAT